CAGCCCCTTAGTTCCTTCAGTTTAAGCATAAAATTCTTAATCTCTGACTCCTAGTATTTGTCAGCTGTAGTTTTAAGATGGAAATGCTCAGCCATGGGGTCGACTGTGTCTTTCAATATATGAAAAAGAACATCGGACGTGTTAACAAGATGAAAAACTAACCAGAGAAGCTCTTTGAGGAAACTGAGGAGCTATTTACTTACTTTATTGTCTAATAGTTAAACTTTGTTTGGTTACGTTAGATGTTTATTTGTGTAAGATTTTTTGTTATTTAATTGGTTTCATTTCTGTTTGCTTCACTTATTCTGGTTAGTTTATTGTTTGTCTGTTTGTTTATTTTGTAAGTGCAGGGCAGCACCGTGGCCACTTCATAAGCATGTTGACAGGGAGGGAAAGATCCCAGGTGTCCTCACCAGGAGGTGAACCGGCGACCTTCTCGCTGCGAGGCATCAATGCTAACCACTGAGCCACCTTACAGCCCCTATGTCAACGTAATCATCCTATATTTGACCGAGAAGATGGTTTAAGTTGGTTAAACTGGAGCAGAATCTTTAAACAACACTGATCAGGTAGTTATGGTGCAGCCTTGAGGTCCTCCCAGACAGTTTCATCCCCGTCAACACATTGAGGCACGAGGGTCTTGGGTTGTTTCAGGAAACCTTAAAGAAATTCAACTTTAATTTTTAAAAATGTATTTAGGATATTTGCCATTATAGCTTTGGTAAACTGCACAGAAGACATTTTAGACTCTATATTGAATGAAAAATGAGCTACAGCAGCAAAAAGAAAGGCTTTTAAAAATGATCAGTGACATCATAACTTTGTTGGACTTTTCTCTACTTGTGATGAAAAACTCACGAGTAGAAAAACAAGAAACGCTTCAGAGGTTTAAATATGAGTTTATGAAATGGCTATGTTTTGGGTTTCTTTAAAAATATAAAACACTTTAATTAAAAAGGTCGTGACGTCATTATTGGGGTCACGAGGTTGACCTCAGGTGTGTTTTTTTTTTTCTTCTTTCAGGTGTCTGAAGGTAAACAAATGGACGCCGCGGCGGCGGTTTGCGGTAAAAACATGAACGATGTGAGCGAGCTGGAGCGAGCACGATGCCCGGACAGAAGAGGAGATACAACGTACGGTTCCCTCCGGTGAGTAGACGCGGCGCTCAGGTGAGTTCCAGACGCCAACAGGTGCGATAAGAAAAAAGAAGGAAAGCCGAGCTAACGAGCTGCTAGCATGGAGGAGCTGCTGCTGCCTTCATGGACCGTCGGATATCTCAGCGGTCTCAGATTGTCTGCAGGGTTTGGAGGACAGATCTAAGCAGTAATATTATTATTAATGTACCTGCAGTACTTTTACACGTACGTGCTGTTTATCTGATGAGCATTAGTGGTTCATAATAGTAGATACTGAGTGTACTTTAAGTGCCAAATGTTAAAATGTGCTTTATGTCACTTAGGAAAACAGTAAAAGATGAAAGATCAAACACTTAGTTAGCTCCATAATGACTAAAAGATAAATAATATGTGAAAAAATTATTCCTATTACAGTTTTTAAAACATATATTGTGATACAAGTTATGATTTTTGTTTTCGTGCATGTTTTTTTCCACTGTAACAAGTAAACATGTGATTTTTTAAAAATTTTGTTATTTTTTTCATTCACTTGATTTTGTTAAATGTCTGTTCTAAGCCGTGACATCTTTGTGCTGTTTGTCTCAGAGGCGCATCAAGAAGATCATGCAGAAGGACACGGAGGTGGGCAGGATCGCCATGGCGGTTCCTGTGATCATCTGTATCCTTCACTCAGCGCAGAAGTCCGATTCTAAACCAGTAAACTCAGTATTCTGAGGTCTGTGACTGTTTTTAGAGCTGCAACGATGAATTAATCGAAGAGTTGAATTCATCTGCAACTCATTTGATAATCAAGAAAGCAGTTTTAGTTTAGTTTTTGTTTTTTTAAGGAAAAAGAAGTCTAAATTAATTTTTATTCATGTGAGAGGTGCTGATTAATGAGCTGTAGATGTCAAATATTCAGTTATCTGTTTTGATTACTAAAAAACACACATCTGTAATTGCAGCTTCTTAAACGTGACAGTAAACTGAAGACATCTGTCATCTGTGGGAAACACTGATCAACATTTTCTGACAGTTTATAGAAGAAAAAATGTATCAGTTACTCCAGAATATAATCAAAAGTTTCACTGACAGTGAAACTAATCATTAGTTACAGCAATAAACTCACAGCTGTTGATTTATTGTTGGTTTAATCTATTTTTCGGCAATTGTCTAACTGGCCTGAGTCGCCTCTAAGCATGCTGGGAGTTGGAGTTCATTTTTAGATTTTGGACAAAATCATTATTGAGTCAACAGATCAGTTTAGGAAATATACTTTTTACGTTTGTGAATTTATGTTAGTAGATTTTCACACTTTTTTGTTTTTATTTTTTAGATTTAAATAATTAAAAATGAAATATTTAGCAACGGACTAAACTCTGGGAATAAATCAACCATCATTTTTGTTTTCATCTACATTTTCATTTTCTATCTACTTCGTTTCAAACTAATTATGCATTTATTAGATTTTTTTTTTTTTTACTTTTAGGCCAATTAAACATTTAGCATAACTCACTAAATTGCTCACCAGAAAAAAAGAAATAAATTAAAAATCCTAAATTCTAAATCCTACTTGTGCTGGAGATCAGGTGGCTAGAATAAATAAAAAGTTAAATAATGGATTTAAAATGACAGCAGCTCTTTATTTATCTTATTTAATCCTGAATGAGTCGTTTGCTGCGGCAGAAAAACACTAAAAATCTGTTGTCAGGTCGGTTTTGACCAAACTGCCTCCTAAAATCTGTGCAGTTATGAACAAAAAACACAATAAATTAATCAGTAGAACTCAACAAATGGTCTCCGTCCAGGTGATACAGATGTTTTCTGCTGTCAGACAACAGCTGGATGATGGCGGGAGTTAAGATTTTCTTGATTAACTGAGTAGAAAACGTTGAAAAATGTTGAATAAATCCCAAAATAACGAATGTTTTGTCATAAAAACAGGAAAGAACCAAACTGGGATCAAACAAATTAGACTTTTTTTCTTTAAAATTCACTTAAAACGGATGAATTGATAATAAAAGCAGCGTCAGATTCCTTTCCGGAGCTGTTGGATCCTGACCTTTGGCTCAGCTCGGGCCTTGGAGATGTTCCTCAAGTCTCTGCTGACTAAAACCTGCCTCATCACTCAGTCCAAGCTGAGCGCTGTCGTGTCCGTGGCTCACATGTAAGTCCAGCCGATCCTCGTCGCCTTCAGCCGGCGAGAACTTCACAGCCTCACCCAGCAGGGACGCATTCACTGCCTGTAAACCACAGATTTAACCTTTAGTGTCACGATGGGTTTGGTTGTAAAGTGGGTTAATATACGCGGAATCAGACGTGATGTTCGAGTAGAGAAGTTTTACAGAAGGTCAAATAAACAGCAAGTGGAGCAAACGCAGGGAATGTCAGGAGATAAAGACGTGATAGAAATATTTAAAACGTGCAAGTTATTCGCCTGAGAATGTAAACGGTGCAAACAGCTCCAGACGTGACAGAAAGCACAGGAGATCGATGCGTATTCATTTTATTTATCTACTTATGTATTTATTCACTTAGAAGAAACCATTCCAGTGGAGTTGCACATTTAGTTTGAACTTTCTTAGATCTAGAATTTTGACGCACAACCAAAGATTAAGCCGACTACATTGATATACTGGTTGTTTTTCCAGGTTGTTTATGTTTATTGTTATATTTTAACGCTGCATAGATTCTGAAACTGTCGATGCTTCGTGTATTTATTTAGAGTGCTGGAGAGTCTTCAGGCCTTTTGTTATTGTCATGATTTAACTTCTCTTTGCTGCAGGTTTTCTGATTCATTTGTACTTTTTGGGGGATTTTCTTCGTTGCAGGTTTATCTACATATAAAACCTCTAAGTGTAGTTTTTATTATTGAGAATGCAGGTTGTAAACATTCATATCTGTATATTTTAACCAATCCTGTGGAAAACAATATTTTGGGAAACATTAATGATTCCTTTTTTTATTTCATACTTGCTGCCTCCCTGCAGTACGTCCAGTATTTAGTCCTTATTCAAGGTTTAAAGTGGCTTCTCTTTCTAAGTTTTAGCACCGAAACGTTGCTGATAAATGTGTTTTTGCAGGTTGGACACTGTTCTAAGCTTCTAGACGTCTTACTGAATGAAATCAGCTTGTTGTCATGTTTATATGCATGTGAATGAAAAGCGATATCGTGTTCTTATTGTGCAGGAAGCAGTGCATCGAGTCAGAGAAGCTCTTCCACTTCCTCAGAGACTCGGTGGACAGAGCCTCGACTACGGCAGCCCAGAAGGACGGCAGAGGTCTGAGTATGTGGCCTCTATACAGGTGGAGCCTCACTCTTCACTCTGAGCTTTAAACGACTTTTATTCAGATGCTGGAGAAAACGTGGTTTTTATTTTCTTCTGAGCAGCAGGACTTCCTAAAGTGAAGTAAAAGACACCCAGACAGGCTTAAAAACGGGTTTAAGTGTTATTTCTGCTTTAAATGCTGCAAATTAAAGCAGTTTCTGCATCTTAATCTGACTTTAACTACAAACTGAAA